CGGATTTCTTTTTGTAGTGCTCATTTCCTTGTAAAGCTGCTTTGTGACAACACCTGTTGTAAAAAGCGCTATATAAATAAACTTTACTGACTTACTTACTTACTTACTAGTAAGCCAGGTTACCCCAACATGCTTTTTTACTATACCATTGCATTTTGAATCATGTTGATGAAGTTGGGTTTCTGTGTCTCATTTGGAAACACAGTAAATGAAACTAGTGATGCTTCCAGGTTGGTGGGAAGTTGATGTCAATTAGTACAGCTCTGAGGAGACTTCCACAGCGCAGCTATGGGCTTAGAACTTTGAAACGACCTACTTGTCCTCTCATTAATTGGGTAAGAGGAGTAACCTTTCCTTTACAAAAGAGAAGCATGACTTTATTCTCTCCCATTGGAAAGTGATCTGACCTTAATCTGTCAGAAGGAAAAGAGAGCTCCCTTGCTCTCCCAGGGGCATCATGTTCCTGGCCTGGAGATGTAGGTATTGGATTTTAATCGGTCAGGGCATCTTAGGAGATCGCCCGCATGTCATACAGTATCATCAAGCTAATTAGGTGGAACTGAACACAGTCAGGAGTTTAATGGCATTAGGGTTTAAGATGGGGGGAGACAGCAGAATTAACTGAGCAATAGAATCGATGTGTATTAGCTTCGGTCTGAAGACCTACAGGATTTCAGTCAAGATGCCATAAACTTGATATACATCATTAGAGTCAGAGGTCCAATGACATTATCCCACTAATAGAAATTATACAAGTGAGTCTTGATTACATAGAAGTTGTTCTATATAATATTTATGGCAGTCTAACAAGATTTGGCTGGCCATACGCGTGTCGCCGTGGCCACACAGCATCCCAGTGGTTCGTCACAGGTCTGTTTCTGTGATAGTGTCGTAATGGCAACCCACACAGCTCATTTGGGGCTAATCCAAGGGGACCATTCCCGCTCTTCCGTTCTCCCTCACTATCAGACCCTGCAGAGTGTGTGGTAATGATGATGAAATTAGAGTGGATAGTTAGATTTTGTTCCTAGTTGTTTTGCTGAGAGTGTGTGGTTGCCATGGTAAAGCCTGTGTGTTTAGCTGATAGTAGGTGAGAGCCGGTCCTATATATCAGAGATTAACTTGCCCATTTCTGCCAACTTTACAATAACATTCAGTGCAGTATACATTAACCTCAGCAGACACGAAGCTGGAAAATGGAAAAGCAAATATAAAATGCTTTACTTAGCATAGCTTTCCATAAATTAGCCTGTATTTTGCATTAGCTTAGTGCCCTGCAGATTGAATTGCTCTGCATTTGTTGAAGTTAATTAAAGGACATATATGATGGAAATCCTTCCTCCATTTTTTTGGAATAAAATAGTTTGCTACAGTATTTAAACATATTGTTCACTCCATATAGTCCATATATGGAAACTAAGCAACAAAAACAGCTCATTTTGAATTAATTGTTCTTGTGATATCTTAAAAAAAGAAATCATTTACATTTATCCTCCTATTCAGGCTACAGCAGTTTAGCCCCACCCATTCCAACTGATGTTATAGTAGTCCATGTTATGGACTACTTTTGAACAAAGCACGATACAGGGCAGCACAGCTTGTAAAAAGAGCATGGCTAATAGAATGGGATGCTCTGCAGCAGCTGCAGTGGTGCAAGTGGGATCTAATGGGCTCCAGTGCAAAAAAAATTACCTCCAGTAAATAAAAATTTGCTTGTTTACTTACCGTTATGTCTCAGCCAACTCAGCCAACTATCTAACAAGTTCCTAATGTGTTTTTTACATTTGGATTGCAAAAATTACACCTCATATTTAGCTTTCAGAAACTCCACTATGAAAAGATAATATAGATTCCAGAGGACCTTTGCTGTGCAATATACATATTTTGATAAACCACGAATATTATTAGAATGGAATTATTTTGATCTTTTAAGATTTTGTTATAAACAGTAACTATATAATGTTGCAGGTACAGGATCCATCCATCCAAATGGTTATGATGGAAAGCGGTATGAATAAGAGGGAGATACGTAGACATCAAGGGTTGTCTGTGTAGTATTGATGGAAGCTAACTTAGATGTGTTGAAAAGAATTTAAATCTTTCTGTGATCTAATTGTGTCAGCATCTATAGAAGGGCCCCAATAAAGGTTTAACCAGCCCCCCTTGCACTGTGGGCCCCAGTGCAATTGCCCCCTCTTTCTCCCAGTAGTTACACCACTGAGCAGCCATTCATGAGTCTCAAACTCACCCTGCCCAATGTCGAGTGTTGGCTACAGGGACATAAGCCCCCAGCATTAGGCGGAGGAGCAGTGAACTCTGAACATGACGAAGTTCCATCTAATACTTTTGGGATGAGTTGGAGTGACGTTTGTGATCCAGAACTAATCATCTAAACATCAGTAACCTCACTAATGCTCTTGTGGCTGAATGCAGCAATTTTCCAACATGTAGTGTAAAGACTTCCCAGAACAATAGAAGCTGTTACTGCAGCAAAGGGAGACAAGCTGCCTATTACTACCCTTGATTTCAAGAGAAACACTGGATGAGCAGGTTTCTTCAAGTTTTTGGACAAATAATGTATAATATGAATGATATAGGATGAAGCATATGGGCAACAGTCTTAATACACAACCATTACGTTAATGTCATCAAACTTGAGTAATAATTTCAGAAATACTCATATCACATCAAATTGTGTCCTTCCTATGTATTTGCGTATTTAAGCAGCCCGCTAGCTTTTACCAAAGTATTCACGGTTTCCCTCTTTCTTCTTTATTGTTTCTGTACCAGAATCTCAGGAAGGTAATCTGATGTTTAAGCACCTTAAGCATTTGCAAGCATGTACATATTTAATTTCAGTGGGGACTGTGATATGTCTGCTGCCACTGTTAATGAAATCATTAATCAGCTCAGCTCCTTGTGTTTGCTGAGCGGCTGTGCTCATATTTCTCTGTCTCAGGCAGCCTCGGATGCAGATGAATATCAAATGTTAGCTCAGCCGCATCACAGAGAGGGGGATTCAGTAACCGAATAAGCTTGTGTTGACTTTACATTTTGTTAATTTACATTTGCAGAGCTGATGAGCTGATTTTCATCTGTGGCCAGATATAGTTACGAATTTATGCTAAATCATCCAAAGAATTTAGCTGTGTAAGTTTTGGGGGCATCTCTGGTGGAAATGTGTAATTGCAGACAATGTACAGAGGAACATTTTGTAACATTGGTTGTGCTTTGGACCCCTTTCTCGAGCAGATGAATCGGATTCAGACAGATATTCAGACAGAGCTCAGTCAAAACTTGGTGAAGGACGTGTCTTTAAATTTGAGTCAATTATCTTCTGTTGTCATTATGTCTTCATCAGTATAATGTTGATTTTACTTTTGTGACTTAAACATCAGGAAATTACCATTTCAGACTTGCAGCAGTGCACACACACACACACACACACACACACACCATATTTTAGTGTGTGTTTTTCCCCTGACTCAGTACTGCTGCTTCTTTCAATTTTAACAAAAAAAAACGTAGATAATGCAGCTTTAAATAAAACTGGCCATTTTTGTAGTTAGTTGCAAATTCTTTGCAGTTACCTGAAGTCTGTAAGCCATATACATCATCAGCATTGGATCTCTTCCCTGGTGATGCTCTGGCAGGTCTGTACAGTTTCAATTTCTGCTGTTTTTGGTGGTCTTTTGACTTTAGCCTCAAATTCTGTGTGGTTCAGGTTTGGGGACTGACTTTGGCAGTCATAAACATTCCACATTCCGCACTGAAAAATTCCATAGGTGTTTCAGTAGCATGTTTTAGGTCATTGTCCTTCTGCGAAGTTGGAGTTTTTCTGTTGAGTTTGGAGGCATTTTGTTGGATCTGGTCAGTTTCAAAACTTCTGTTTACGGCTGCCGTCAGCACTTCTGTGATCTGCCAGTTGGTTAATACTGCAAACCACACCGGCACATTCTTACTTCCTAACGGCACACCTAACAGTTAATTACAAAAGGGATAGCTTTGGTCCTAAAATCTAGTTAAAACATGTTCAAAGCCATGGTAAAATATTCCGTATAGGCACAAATGATTGCACCTTTGGTAGCCATATGATGTTACAAATGAATAATGTTGCTTTATTGTCCATCCATCCATCCATCATCTAAACCGCTTATCCTAAACCGCTTATTTAATATACATTGGTTTATCTTATCATATTAGTCCATCATCACTTTCCGACTTCCAATCTCACCTCTTCCACTAAGCATTGTTTAGCTGCTGTCGACTGACCCCTGCATGGACTACTAATTAAACCCACTCATTAATAGACATTTGACACCTATCTCGCATGGTACTGACCTCCTTACCTGTTCATATTTACATGTTTTTAAGGCAATCATGGATTAAATCCTCATTCTCCTTCTTTTTAGATAACATTTGATAGGCTTTGGTAATCTGAACATTTCTGTCTTCTGATTAGGCTCAATTCCTATTCTCATTATTCACTATTGTATATTCATTAGCTCGTTTCAAAGTTTCTTCCTCTTGCTCTTAGGGAGTTTTTCCTTGACCCCCATCACCCTCGACTTGCTCACTAGGGGCTTGGACCCAGATTTCTGTAAAGCTGCTTTGTGATAATGGCAGGTGTAAAAAGCACTACACACATGCATTCAAACTGAATTGGATTGAAGATTGTGTTTTGTCCCCATTTCATGAAACCAGAGCTGAGTGTAGTGTCTAACAACAGCCAATAACTGTGGTAAAATCACCATAATGCACACCCTCTCACTGCATATTGCTTTATTTTGATTCACCTAATGTTTTTCATATAGTTACTGAACTCTCACTGTGACACACCAAAGCCATAAAATTTGAGCGTGTCGTAATATAATGTTACATACAGGCTGCATGGGTAATTTTGTTTTTATTTTTGAGAGCTGAAATAACAAAAATGTACCATTAGTTTTACAAAAGTATTGTAATGTAATCCTGTTTTATGGTTGTGTATCTGCTCATAGGTGCTCATGGTCCAGGGAGGTGGGCATCAGTGTACCCTGAATGTGGGGAGAGGAACCAGTCACCTGTGGACATTCCAGATGAAGATGCCCACATCTCTCAGGAGTGCCAGGAACTCACGCTGGAGGGCTTTGAGGTCAAATCATCTAACAAGACCTCCATGAAGAATACAGGCAAAACAGGTTAGATAGAAAAGCAGTTAGATTCGAACATTCATAACATTCATGAAGAGTGATGATGCAGTCTCATGCAGTGTTTTTGAAGCTTAAATATATCACATCATTATGAAAGAAATATTGCAAGTGAATAGCATGCTTATATTTAAAATTATCTTAAGAATATATTACGGTATAAAATATAATAATAGATGCATAATGCATATGTACTATGTATAGTAGTATATAACATAAGAATAGAATATATAAAAAATCTATTTTTACATGTCTATATAACCAGCCATTGAAGTTCTGTCTTAATATTTCTTAATAAAAGGTAACATCACCCCTCTGCCGTGCTTAGATATAAATCTGTTTCCATAAAAACACACAATACATTTATTTATTAAAAAAAAAAATACATTTAAGAAAAAAGAGAATAATTCATCTGTGTGCTTGAGGTTTGCCTTTGACCTTGTCACACCAACCTATTTAGACATGAAATAAAATTCTGACACATTAAATGTGATGAAGAGTGATATCATTTAACCCTTAAGTTCAAAAGCAGGTAAATGTTGTGTTCATTCATCATTTGATAATTTACCGTTAAACTCTGACATCAGAAGTTCTAACCTTGATAAAAGGGAGCATGGCAGCCTGTTTGATTGGGTCGGGCTTCCCATGTAATTCTGAACAAAAAACTTAATATACTTACTGAGGGGGGGAAATCTGTTTTTTTTTTTTCCAATAAGCTTGTCCATTCGGCACCAATCTCATGGAATGACTCTCAGTTCACAAAGATATATCGCCCTGGGTGTTCAGTCACATAAATCTATTGTTCCAACGAGAACTGCTGGTGAACAATACCGTTTACTCAGTGCTTCTCTTACAACCAAGCAGCCATGGGTGTCTATATGTTGTACTGATCACATTTCCAATTAGGACTGCAAACAAACAAATTACAGTTAAAAAGAGTTTTATGTTTTTTCCATCAAGACTATTTTTTTAAATTATCACAAATATCAAAATAATTGCTCTGCGCGACTGATTCAAAGTTGGAAGCGTTTTTTCCCCTGCAGTATTTCATCATGACACATGATTGCATCAGGTCTTTGTTTGAAGTGAGTTGGCTAACCACCACTCCCCCCTGCCTCAGCTAAAGAACAAGCCCAAACAAATATCAAACACGCCTTTTGCAAAGTCTGACACATCCCCATTGATCTTGGCCTTTGCTTTGCCACGTATCGGCTTTTTATAGCAAACACGGATTGAAGATCTCTCTGGATCCCGTTTTAATGCATGCTCTGCTCTGAAACTTTGAGCGGCATTTATGATAATGCTCTGCAACTGCGCTCCAGCATGGCCCTCCACAAAGCACCGACAAAACAAGAGCTGTAGGGGAGAGCAGAGTTAGTTGGTGCAGTTTTCACTCCCTGCTGTATATCCTAGCCACAATATACATTAGAATAAACCAAACAGCAGCAAGTGAAAACCGAACATCGTAACTGAACAACAGACATTTTCAGTGCCAGAAAATATTTCCTGGAATTAGTGCATTTTTGGCTAAATTCATGTTGTGCATTGTGCCAACCAGGCTCAACATGGTTGGTGGGGATGGTTGGCACAATGTTGAAAGGCTATAGTTTCAAACAGTTTTGTAATGTTTTACTCAGACTATTTTTGTTTAAGCATAGAAAACTCAAAAAGTTATCTCTGCAAATCTGTCAAAACGGATGAATGTTGGTCAAGAGGGCAATCATTTTTATGTGAAATCTTTAGTCTACCTTACTGACCTAGACAGTAACACTGCAAACCAAACCCTGTGCCAACCAACCCCAATCGCCTCATTTTCATAACAAAAGCTTGCATTTCTAAAAAGGTGACTGTACAGGAGAAGGAAGGAATGTTCTTAATTTTAATGCATGTTTATGTAATGAGATTTTCCAGAAAATAGTAATTCCGGACCTTTTATATCGGTCCATTCATCATTAAAGGGTATTTTGTAATTCAACAGTTGGTATTTTGAAATGGTGTTAAAAGAAAAATTGGAGGTTCTCATAGCCCAGCAATCTGTTAATGAATTGAATTGTACATTTGTTGGTGAAAAAGGCTGAAATTCTTAGACCAAAAACAAATCAGCTTCCCTGGCTTGATATTGTATTTTCATATTTTCCTTGCAGGGCTTGTTTGGTAAGCTTAAATGAGGATATATGCACCTTCATTACAAAGTAGTGATTCAAAGTGCACCTACTGTGTCTATCATGCTGCATTGCGTTTAGCACGCAGAGCATTTGGAAAGCCTTGCAGCAGACCCATCAGCACAGTGTGCCAGTACTACACAGGGAAGCAGTAGGGGTCTCTGCTTCAGTTTACAGATCACTGTATTAGATCCCATAAAGCCTCAGCTTGGATGGCCTCTTCTGTGTACACAGTGTCTTTATCCCCCTCTGTGCGTACCATGCGTGTGTGTGTGGATATAAAGTCACCACAGGCCCTTGTTTCATCCTCGCTATCCCCTCCCTCCTCACATTCTCCCCTCCATCTCTCTTCAAACGCCACTCTCATCCCTCCCGACTCCCTGTTTGTTTATTCGCGCTCCATGCCTTTTCACTCGCCTCAGGATTAAAAGCTAGATCTGCCGCTAAAGCTTGTGTACCCTCAGGCTCACTCGAGTGGTTCCTCGCCATTCATCCTAATCTCTGTGATGAGGCATGCTGAGAAAACGGTGTAGGCCTGTTGGCCAAGCCTCCGAAGACTTTGCGTCTCTGGTAGGCTGGTGTAGTTGTGTTATCAGGTGTTTTGTGTGTGACAGCAGATTTAAGAGCCTGAGATGAGGCCTATCGTAGCTTAATATGCAGTAGAATCCTTATAAGGATTTAGAAGTTGTGTAGAAAGCATAATTACATTTTTTAGCCCCATTCCATCCTGTTCTTTAGTGGTCAGAACCTCCTACAAGACCACCACAGAGAAGATATCATTTGGGAGATGGGCCATTGTCAGCACTGCATTGATGTGGTTTTGGTGTTTTAGTGTGTGTCGTGCTCGTACGAGCTGATCAGACCCAGCAGTTCTGCTGGAGCTTTCAAACACTGTGTCCACTCACTGTCCACTCTATTAGACACACCTACCTTGATCTGTAAAGTCAGATACAATAGCTCACCTGTTGCTGCACAGTTTGTGTTGGTCATCCTCTAGTCCTTCAGCAGTGGTCACAGGATGCTGCCCACAGGATGCCGTTGGCTGGATATTTTTGGCTGGTGGACTATTCTCAGTCCAGCAGTGACACTGAGGGGTGTTAAAAAACTCCAGCAGCACTGCTGTGTCTGATCCACTCGTACCAGCACAACACACACTAACACAACACCACCACATCACTGTTACTGCAGTGCTGAGAATGATCTACCACCCAAGTGATACCTGCTCTGTGGTGGTACTGTGGTGGTTCTGACCATTAAAAAAGAGGGTAAAAGGGGGCTAACAAAATATGCGGAGAAACAGATGGACCACAGTCTGTAATTGTAGAACTATAAAGTGCTCCTATATGGTGAGTGGAGCTGATATAATGGACAGTGAGTGTAGATACACGGAGGTGTACTTAATGAAGTGGCCAGTCAGTGTATGTAAATGACCTCTGTTCTGATTGGCCATCCTGTATCATACCTTGTGCAAAAGGAAATCTAGGCTTAAACACTCCTTGTAACTTGGGAATGAATGAACAGATGGATATAAGTGAATTTTTTTTGTTTCATCACATCAACAATATATTTAAAACAGGCTGGTTTTAAAGCTTAGTTTCCAGATATGAACTGTGTGAGAGTAAATGATACGTTGTGAAACTTTAACAGTGTTTATATACTGTATCAAATGCTTATATTCTCAAAATATTAGAAAAAAAATGGTTTTCCATTAAACAGCCCCTTTAACTAATGACTGTATAGTTGCCTCTGTAGTTTTTTAGTTTGTGAATGTTAATCACTAGAGATATTTCTCTTATAAGTAACACTTTACCATTCAACACCATGTATAGTTTAGCCCATCTAGAGTGTCCACATGTCCATGTGAAGTAATTACATATATGATTGCTCATTTTAATAAGCTTCACGATATCTTTAAAATGCTCTTCTCAATTCAATTAATTGAGTTAATCACTACAGATATTTTCTTATAAATAATACTTTAACATTCACCACTATTTACTATTCAACCCATCTAACAGTGTCCACATTCCTGTTCGAGGTAATTATTATCTCTCTATAATTTTAAGCTGCACATAAACTGGAGATCACTTTGAAAGGATACATTTATTGTAGGCCATAAAGGGTAATTAAAACTTTGGCTCAGGCCCAAGCTGCATGACTTCGCTGTAGGCTGGGACTAGCGTTAGGCTGCACTATTATTTTAACTGAACTTGCCCTAGAACAAAGAGAGACAGAGGGATTTGTATAGGCCATTGGAAATGGTGACATATCTAAATTAGTATGTCATTTCAGGCATGAAAGAGGAGCCAGGCCACTCTTAATGCAGTGAAATGTGACAGGCTTTAATATTGGAGTTGATGAAGTCACTGCAGATGCAGCAGAACTGGCTTTGATGCGCTCGTGCCCCCTGGATCTGTCAGTGATATTCATTTTCTGAATGCTTAAATATGACTAATTAGAGAATCGTGTCTGGACAAAATTTCATTTGGCTGTTTATGAAAATTTTTGTCAGCTTAATTTGCTGCCGCCTTACTTCTGCCTGTAACACCTCGTGTAAAGTGCTTTTCTCAGATGCGAAAGGAGTAACAGGGTGGAAACGATGGAGGAAGAACGTGGCATTGTTCTCTTGATCTGTTAGCAGATCTCCGACCCGAGGGAAGCAGTCAATTCCTAACTTAGAAGCAGTAATGATTTGTATGTCTTTCTTCTTTCCTTCCTCTTCACCCCTCCCTACGCACCCCCCCCCACCCCAATTCCTCTTCCCCAGTCTCCATTCTGTTGAAGAATGACTACTTTGTTGGAGGGGCGGCACTACCTGGGCGGTTCAAGGCAGAGAAGGTGGAGTTTCACTGGGGTCACACCAACGGATCGGCTGGCTCGGAGCACAGCATTAATGGAAGGAGGTTTCCGGTAGAGGTAAAGCAAGCAGTACTTATTTTTATCTAGACTGCTCTGCTGGCCATTGTGCTTTGTGTTGCTATGGCTCAGACAGTGCTGCAGTAATCTGAACAAAATGCAGATCAATCTAAATTTATTGACCAACACAATGCATGCTGAGTTTTGTTCATGAGCAAAAGGTGTCAATCTTTTTTAGCCTCGTAATAGCCTTTATTCCATTCACTCGCCTTGTCCTCAACCCAGCTATGCTAATTAAGCAAATTAGTAGACACAGAGCTCAAGCATGTACTCTCACAGTAAAACCACCAGTGTTAAATTAACTCTGTCAGTCTTAAATGAGCTCCCGTAGAGTTCACACGAGCCCACTCTGCCCAGAGAGAACTCATCTGAAGTGCGTAGGAGTTAATTTAACAATGGTGATTTCAGGGGAAGTAAGGTTGTCATTTACTGGTATATTGAATTCTGGTTAATCTGCTGAATTGGAAATCACGGTGCTAATTCTGGGTCCCATTTGTCATTCAAATGAATGGCTGATTAAATGAACTGTAGCTTGAGTCTACTTGAATTATATGTAGAATATGTCAGAATATAAATATATATATAGTAATTACTACCATCTCAGGCCAGCCTTCCTTTCAGAGCACTCTGACATTTCTACATCTGTTATCTGCATTCATCTTTTACTTTTTTATCAAGCATATTTCCTCTATTCACTCACGGTTTCAGGTCCTTATCATCTTGTACCTGTTCGTCGGAACATGTGAAGCCATTATGATTATGAAATATGCCATTAGGCTGGTAATGCTTTTCAGTTCTGCCTTGAAAACAAGCGATGTATTTATTTTCATGAAAGCCTGTAGGAGGCACGGCAGATGAGAAGGAAGGTGGAAAGTTTTGCTCCATTAATTTGTACATATGAGACTTGGCAGCACCGCAGCAAATCAGTCCAACATTGTGTGGCCAGTTATCTAAAATCCAAGTATAAAAGTTCAACTGCACCAATCTACCATAAAATAAAGCCACATCCTTTGTCTTTGTCCATTTTATCAGCTCCACTTACTATATAGGTGCACTTTGTAGTTCTACAATTACAGACTGTAGTCCATCTGTTTCTCTGCATACTTTGCTAGTCCCCATTTACCCTGTTCTTCAATAGTCAGGACCTCCACAGGGCCACCACAGAGCAGGTATTATTTAGGTGGTGGATCATTCTTAGCAGTGCATTGGTGGTGGCATGGTAGTGTCTGTTGCGCTGGTATGAGTGGATCAGACACAGCAGTGCTCCTGGATCTTTAAACACTGCATCCACCCACCGTCCACTGTATTACACACATCTACCTTCTTGGTCCACCTTATAGATGTAAAGTCAGAGATGATATCTCATCTGTTGCTGCACAGTTTGTGTTGGTCATCCTCTGGTCCTTCATCAGTGGTCACAGGACGCTGTCCACAGGATGCTGTTGGCTGGATATTTTGGTTGGTGGACTATACTTGGTCCAGCAGTGACACTGAGGTGTTAAAAAACTCCAGCAGCACTGCTGTGTCTGATCCACTCAGACCAGCGCAACACACCACCACCACAACAGTGTTACTTCAGTGCTGAGAATGATCCACCACCCAAATAATACCTGCTCTGTGGTGGTCTTGTGGGGGTTCTGACCACTAAAGAACAGGGTGAAAGTAGATAACAAAGTAAGCAGAGAAACAGATGGACTACAGTCTGTAATTGTAGAACTACAAAGTGCTCCTATATAGTAAGTGGAGCTGATAAAATAGACAATGAGTGTAGAAACATGGAGATAGTTTTAATGTGATGGCTGATCACACCCTTTAGCTCTCACACCCAGGCGTATGCTTATCTATATTATCCTAGGCCTGCTTTTCCTGTTCGCTCTCTTACTGTATTCAGATTTATGAGCTTAACACATGTAGGTGCAGTTGTTTGTCAGACCTCAGGTCAATCTTCACTGAGTAAACAAGCTTCTGAGAGTAAGTGAATTGGCTAATGTGATTTAAACCTTGTGAAGAAGAAAAAAAAATGGCTAATATGTTTTCGTGAATGCTAACACAGACAACAAATGGGCACCATTAAAGGCTGCGGTTTAAAGGAAGTCTGAGGGAGACTGGTTTTCATTAGCGAGACTTTGACTGCATACTTCTTTCTTCTGTATTAGAGGTTTAATTCCTTCTCAAATCTTTCTTATGCTGTCTGCTCCTAATTACTCTGCTTGGGCTGGGAGTTCTGCTCAGTGCTCAGCTGCTCTTGCCTGGATGCCCTGGGGTCTTGTGTTGCGTTTCGTTGCCAGGGGCATACTGCTCTTGGTTTCAGAGGCAGACCATTATTTCAGCTCAGCTTCTGTTCAAGGACAAAATGCACCGAGGGCGGAAACAACCGCAAGTCCACAGCACCGATACAGAACCTGGAGCAAGTGGAACAAATAGAAATATTTATTCTACCATCTGGCAGTGTTTCTGTGGCACAAAATGTCTTCATATACAAAACCAACAAAAACATGACTTTGTTGAAGGCGAATTTTTCAGATTTCTGAATAATTCAGTTGTTGGGATTTAAACAGTGATTCCAGACGGGTAGATGTAAAATGGTGCATTGTGGAGAAACTTGTAGACTTTTTCTTTACAGGAACCAAGAAACCAAGGGTCACGATAACTGCAACACAAATATAGCCATTTTATTTACTATCCAAAACAACAGTGTAACTTGTTGTTCTGGATTTTTATATGTAATGTTGATGATGATAAAATAGTCATAAATCTTAAACAACCAAACTGCACCATAAATGGCTTTTAAACCATTTGTTTGGAAGTAAAAACTTTGTGAGGTGGCTTTTAAAGGCTTTTCAGACATGTGGTTCCTATCACCACTGCTGGGAACAATTCTGACTTGATACGTTTCTCTACAATGGTGCATTTCACATCAAACCACCCCTTAATCACTTTATAAACATCTTACATCTTTAGTTATACAAAAAAATGGTGAAATTCCCTTTTGATGTCACTTTAAAGGGTAATTTCACCATTTTTCAAAAAATTCTGCAGAATTACTGAGGTGTAAACAGTAATTCAGAGTGGTTTGATGTGAGATGGCGCATTGAAGAGACACTAATCAACTCTTTTGGTGGTGATAGGAAACAGGGATTGTGATAACTGCAAAGCAAAAATAGCCAATTTATGCACTATGCAAAATAACTAGTGAACCCATACGTGTCTTCTGAGTTTTATATATAATGTTGAATATAGTAAAATAGCAGTAGATCTGTAAAAAAATGTTTTCAAGGGGGGCAGCATTATGAGGACAGCAGCAACAGGTGAAAGAGGACATTTGCTAAAAGGCCATCCAGCCATCAACCTCTAAAACTTCTACTGCCTTGTTGGTGGACAAAACATTAAAAGAAATGAGACAGGAGAATATTACTGCTGCTTCTCTCCAGCTGTCATCTTGTCAAGAACCGTGTGATACGACTATTCCTGGTTTCATTTCTTGTAAATTCAAAAAAGAACTACATTTGAGTGAAAAGTACAGATTGTGATGTTTTTCACAGTTCTGTGAATCAATCTATGAGGTCAATATTGCATAAAACTGCATTGGTGAATCAGGAACCTGACATGATTAAAGATTGGCCTGCATTATTTTGACCAAAATGTGGTGTTGGATTACACAAACCTTGATTCATCAAATCACTCTGTGGTACTGTGATTAGCCAAAATTCTCAGAGCATGCAGCATAAGCATGGTGATTGGTTAGAGGGCTTGTATTCATATGTGAGGCCTCCTGTGATATCAGTATTGAAATATTACAATAATGATTCTCAAACAATATATTGTGTAGCTTAGCCATTTTATTTACTATGCAAAATAACTAGTGTACATACACGTGTCTTCGGAGTTCCATGTGTGATGTTGAAAATAGTAAAACAGAAGTAAATCTGGAAAAATGTTTCCACTGGGGACCAGTATGCCATACTTAAAATAGACTCAATAATATATAACAAGTCTACTTAGATGAATGCATTTGCAGCTAAATTGGTAGCAGAACATGGTATAAGTCTTATCATAGCTAGATTGTCCTGTCAGTGTGTATTCTACATGAAAAACTGCTCTGAGCTTAGGAATAGGCTGAATGTTTCACAAAGTTTTGGTTTCATCACGTAGTTTGGGCCCATAGAGGACATCACTCTTTGTCACGGCTGCCTCATTAGAGGGATCAACTTCACAGTATTTACAGAGCACAGCTGACATTATTGACATGTATCACCATCAACGCACCAGTGAACATTATCGGCGAAAAAACACAAAGAAGACGCAGTGAGCCTCATCCAATTATTCATGGATGGCTTCAGCTGACCACTGGCTCAGTGCCCACTTATCAGATTAAACTAAGTCGCCAACAGAAGCGACATCAATGCAAAGTTTGCAGGCAGTTGTGTAAACATTGCATGTTACAGCCTGTATAATAGGGGTTTAAGAAAAGGAATCATTTTTTTTTCCCCATTATGGCTGAAAGCGAACAGGCTGTGTGCAGCGCGCTTGCTTCATTTCAGGAGCGAGAAGAACGATGAACAAATATCCTCAATTTGACATGGTGAGGGAACACAAAGATGCGAAGGGGAGGATGAGAGGTTGCCAGGGAATTAGTTCAGTCGGAACGTGATCGTCATAGAGAGGCCTAATCCTATTCCCATCATTTCAACAATCTCTCTCTCTCTCTCCTCTCTCCCTCGTTGTTTTGCGTCCTCCTGCCTCTTCTGTTGGTGGATTTAGCATTTATTTTAAACTCATTTGTGCGACTGCACTGAGACAATGTTTATGGCCTCATGGACACAATGTTTAGCGTGCTGTATTGAGCAGATTTGATGTGGAGCTCTGCATTTTTCCCCTAAATCCGTTCCTCTGTGAGAATGAATAATCTTTAATTGTCACAAATGTCAAAATGTGTATTGGCTCGTGAATGAGAATATGAGTGAGATAAGGGGTGTATTTTACTCAGGGTTGCCTTTATGGACAGAATTGGGTTTTTTTTTCTACATGAGTCAATCAAGGAGATTGCCTCACAGATCATGGCAACTTAGTGTAGCATTTTTTTTTGCAAAGCAGTGCATAGGTGTGAGCCATTTGGTGCCTTGTCAGTTTCTGAAAAGGCCGATGAAAAGCCGAACACATTTGCCTGTCTGTGCCCACAGATGCAGATTTACTTCTATAATTCCGATGACTTTGACAGTCTCAGCACTGCCATAAAGGAGCGGAGAATCATCGCTGCCATGGCTGTCTTCTTTCAGGTAAGGATCCACCTCTGCACTTCTCAACTCGCAAAAAAGTGCATTTGTAGATAGAGTGAAAGGAGTGAGAGGGAGCACATGATTGACTTGTGCTTTTGACACAGGCCTTCTTCAATCACTGAGCATGATGCTAAAAATTGCTTGAAACTTTCCCTTCAAAAGGATTTGAGAAGTCTGGTTTAGAATGACTGTCACCGTGGTTCTACTGTGTGTACGCTTCTCCTATCCTCTTCAGAGAGTGGGGGAAGAGAGAGAGAGAGAGAGCAAGAACCTTTTCAAAGCCTGATTGATTTACTTTGGCCGGCATAGCTCAAGGGGGGCAGCTTTATCAGGGCAGCAGTAACAGGTGAAAGAGGACCTTTGCTAACTGGCCCTCCAGCCATCAACCTCTAAGACTTCAACTGCCTTTTGTCCTTTTGTTGGTGGACAAAACATTAAAAGAAATGAGACTAGAATATTACTGCTGCTTCTCTCCAACTGTCAGCTTGTCAAGCGTTGTGCGATACGACTGTTTCTGATTTTGTTTCTTGTAAGTTCAGAAAAGAACTACATTTGAGTGAAAAGTACAGATGATGTTTTTCACAGTTCTGTGAATAGGTCTGAGTGCAGTACAATCAACTGAGCTGCACAATATAGCTGTTTCTACATATTGCAATTGAATTGCCACCATTCCTGTATAAAACCGCATTGGTCAATCAATAACCTGACATGATAAAAGATTGTGTAGTTCTGCTAGCTACTGCAGAAATAACTGCTATACTTCTGAGTTTGCAGTGTATTTTACATTTTTCGCTCAAGCTTATAGCTCAAGTGACTGCTTTCATGTCATATGCAAAAGTTTGGGCTCTCCTGGTCAAATGACAGGTTTTGTTGAAGGGAAATTAAGTACACATCTTCTGCAGATAATGCACTTCTGCACACTGTAATGCTCAAATACTGTTTATTTGTTTATTCGACGAACTGAACATATTGAACAAAAAATAAAACGTGCAAAATGGCTAATTTTTATGTTTTTTTTCCCCAATATGTTAAAGTCAGCAAATAAACAGAAAGTGTGCACTAAAAACTAAAACGGAACAAATGCTATATTTAAGTATCCCTGTAGAACATGTGTTAATGTCATTTCAATTAGAAAATCAATAAAACATATAATTTGACCATGGGTGTTATATTTTACAAACTCTTATATAATGAACTACAAACAAATTTCAGTTTTCCTCATCACATGCAACTGTACAATTGATTCCCCTGTACTAGGTCTGGAGAACAGGGCGTTGTCATCTGTTATTGGCAATGACTGACAAGCCGTAAGCCAATGGCGATGCTTCAAAGGCGCATTGGGAAAGAAAACTGAGAAGTACAGAGGACTAATTTAATTTTAAACAGCTGCTAAATAATATCAAGCAATATATACATTTAATGTGTTATTCACTTTTACTGTTTAAACATTATTACAGAGCATTAGGGCATTAGGCTCCAGTAGAGCAAATGTACCCAATCTCTGCTGTAGTCAACAACATTAGAGGCGAGTTTGAGACAAGACCGAGACCTGGACACATCGAGTCCAAGTCAAGATTAAGACTTTGTAGTAGTTGAGTCCGAGTGAAGTCCCAGACCTTTTTCAAAATATATAAATAAAAAGGAGAAATGGGGAAAATTTGAGTTTTGCTTGTAGTTCATTATACTTTCATCATGACTCATTATACATGACATATATTAATAAAAAACATTCAATTTTGTCATGTAAAAATAAAACATGAAATAATATATAGTCTAAAAATATTGTTTTGAAGTACTTTTGGAAGTAAATGATGACGGGATTCTTTTCTGTTACCTCTTTTCTAAAACTTATTCAGATTCACCATCTAAGGTCAACTGAACATAAACCAAAAAATATACATCCTTTCTATTATTAAATGAAACCATAGTAATAATATCATTCCAATCTTTCCTCAGAGGTTGTTGGAATTTTGGAACTAAAGAACATAAACAAACATTTAATTCCCAGTTAATCCATTATGGAAAGATCAATTAAGATCCTCAAACAGCAGTGAACAGATTTTATAGCAGAAAACTGACTGTTCTGTTATTCCATCTGATTGTATTGTTGATAATAATGACAGAACAAAGTTCAATTTCCAGTTACCTCAGGCAGAGGCATTGCGCTCAGCTGGTCTCGAGAAGAGTCCACTTTACCCCTGAACCGAGACAAGACCCATTCCAAATGATGTTGAGGCCGAGACAAGACCGTTAATTTCACTCTCGAGACCAGACTCAAGTACTACAACACTAGCTGCGAGTCTTGCGAGTGCGACACACTGTCTGAGGAAAGTATTTTTCATACAGCTCAAGTGTCCTGATGGTTCAAATGACTTGCAAAATTATGAAAAATAATAGATGGTTTCCCATGTAGTATAATCGATTTTTAGATATAGCCCAGGCCTACGCTATTAGACAAGAAAACACATTGACTTAAACCTTACTTATAATGAAAAACAGTGGGATGTGTTTTTGCAACTCCCCATTGGCTTCATCAATACGTTTTGAATCAATGTATTTCTGTTCTTTCATATGTTACAGATGTTTACTTTAATTATAATATTTGAAAATCGAATGTGTGCTACAAATGCAGTTGATACAGTTTAGGTCGAAAAACACTGGATTCGTCCTTTAAATAAACAACAGTGATAACCTGATATTCAGAGTGCAGAAGCCAGCAGTAAATCACAGTCCATTTATCATTTGGCTGTTTTTGTACCTCCACATAAAGCATTTGTTCGGTTTTTCATCCACACATTGGCACAAAAACAAAGACCCCTCTCACACTTACTGTCCCTCAGGCAACAGGTCTATTCCTCAGGCGGAAAAGTGGAGCACAGGTGTGTTCTATGTAGGTCCGTTGTCAGGCAGTGAAAGACTGCGTGCGTGTGGGGACCTAAACACTCACGGCCGGCTATGACAGCGTTATGGCTTACCGCGATTAGCAGCCAGACGGATGGTATCGTTTAAAGCAGGACATGGCCATGCCTCTGGGTTTTATATAGCTAATCAATGTGGAGCTCCCAGGCTTGGAGGTTCCCATGGGCTCTGCCTTTCTATCCCACCAAACGAAGCCTCCTCACATTAGAGAATAAGAGTGAATGCCTACCATCTAATGACCTGAATAAGAGTCTTCACCAGCGTAAATAAGAAGTGCTTAGATCAGCGTATCAGAACTTTCTTACATTAAAGCATTTCTTACCCTCTTGTGGAATAATTTATGGTAGCAGTGAAGGATGTGTACTGAATAAGCATACGCAAATGGAATCTCTCTGCCTTTCTCTGAACAGCCTTTTGTTATTGGATTTTTGCAGGTAGGGAAGAAGGACAATATGGCAGCTGAGCCCATCATCATGGGTCTCAAACGTGTTGTTCATCACGGTGAGTTTCGAGTTAAAAAGGCTGAAAGAATGTCTCCCTCATGCCGGAGTGTAGGATATTACAACTGTAGGGATACAAAAGCCAGATGCATATGGATCCATCAAATACACAACAACAGCCTATTGAGAGAGTGGAAAAGCACTGCATTAGCTTGTGTGCTATATCTGTTGTGTGTCTCATATCCACCAGAGAAAGAGACGAATCTCGGGCCTTTTATCCTGAGGGACCTGTTGCCATCCTCTTTGGGAAGCTACTACCGTTACACAGGATCTCTGACTACACCCCCATGCAGTAAAGTAGTGGAGTGGATTGTCTTCAGTCGACCTGTTTATCTGTCCCACCGCCAGGTAAGCAGATCCACTTAATAACGTGCACATACGCACACGTGGTACTGTGTAAAAGTCAGAAACCGCCATTCAGCCACCCTTCATTTATTTGATTCTCAGTTTCATTTTGCAGTGTCAGGAAAAATCCGAAAACATATATTTAAAAGAAAATGACACAGAAGCTTCAATGTCTAAAAATAATAGACTTTAGGAGATAGGAGACCTGCTTTCAGTTTTTCAAAGAAATCTGCAGGGATTTATCTAAACACCTCCAAAGTTCAGGCTTAGAAGTCAGTTGCATTTTCTGCTTCTCTTGAATCCCAAACACATCCAGTGAGGTTAAGGTCTGGACTCTGGGGTGGGCAGTCCATTGTTCTCTTTTGCTCTTTTTGTCTTGACAACTTGACAGCTACCCTTAGCATTGAGTTGTCTTCTCATAGTGGAAGGATGGACGGAAACACCTGTGTATTTTTTGAAAACCAGATCAAAGATGAAAGCTTTAAGTACTGTTTGTCTGATGGGGACAGTTCTGGTGGTCTACCAGATCTTGCTCGGTTTTTAGGAGTCCCATTTGCTCTGTAGCTTTTATTTATTTTTTTAACTTTTTTCACTTTTTTCATTTGACTTTCCCCATTATTATGAAAGTGGATTCACTTATATATTATCTAATCTTCTTTTCATTTTTGACTAGACATTAAATAAATGAAGGGTGGTCTCTGACTTTTGCACAGTGCAGATCACACAGCAGTACCTTGATCAATCAGGCTTAATTTGTGTAGTGTTTTTGACCAATATGGAAAAAAATCTGAAGTTTCAGTAACAATATTATTGAAAAGTTTGGAATCAATGTTTTCAATAATACAAAGCCAGTTTAGATGTTTCAAATGATTTCATATATGTAGGAATCATTCAAACAGAAATGTTAGATGTGTCCAGAATGATGAAAAAAGCTGTAGATATTTCAAAAAATAACTGATAAAGCTGTAGAATATAAAGAATAAAATTAATATCCAGAATGCTTTGAGATCAAAGAAGCACTTTTGGTTCCCTAAAAACCATTTCAGTGTTTGGGTCTTTAGAGAACTAATTTATAAAAGGAATGTGTGAGTGTGATGAACCTTTTTAATGCTTAAGGAACCTGAATGTGAACATTCAAGGAAGAACCTTTAAATTGGCATAGAACCTCTACATTATATGAATGTTGTTTAGGTTCTTCACACAAATCTCTTTTTCAAACATGGTTGGTTAGGGAATGTTCTTCTATGGTGTCACTCAAAGAACCCTTTTAGCCATTTTTTAAGACTTTAGTTTTATATGAACAGCAGTATGCATGTGCTAAAGGCTTTACAGTATGCGATTTGTGAAAATCCGGTTTTATAAATCAACTGTACGCAAATGCTGAGAACTTGAGATCAAATTTAGAATGAAATTGAAGTACTTTTTTATAAATGAGGCACCTGGTGATTTCGCTTCCTGTTGCTTAGGAGGGTCTTTCATAAACCTAAATTATCTAAGTGCTTTCAGTCAGATTAGGTGCCTGTATGAAAGGCTGCAGTGAGGAGAAAGCTGCCATGTGGGACATAAACAATCTTGGTTCAAAAGAAAGAGGACTGGGGAGATGAATGTGCCACACACAGTCATGTATAAACATTACCTCCTACTAGAAACTGACAGGTTCTCTACTCCCTACCTGCAGATCCACAGCCGTATTCTCTCCAACACACGTGTGTATGCGTGATTCATCTGTGCCTGTTGTTTGGTATATAAATGTTCTTCGGTACAGGCCAGCGCCAGGCTGAACATTTTTCCGTGCTGAAAATTCCCATTCTCTCACCAGGCCCAAACTCCCCAGCTCCATTACTCTAGGTAAAACTTTCTGGTTTATGGCAAAAACTCCTTCTAAAAAGATTTACATATTCATCTGCCTCAAGCTGCATGAAGTAGATTAAACTCGAATATTTGACACGGTGTAGAATGTAGTAAATGTACCGTTTAAAGAGTAACTACACCCCACTATTTTCAGCTAACTTCACCCCTGGCTCAACTTTGAAAAATGCTCAAAAATGGGAGGGGCATGTTGGGAGGGGCACTGCAGTGAAACCAGGCAGGCTGGGCTTCTGTGTTTTTATAGATAATGTTAGCTACCAGACAATATGGAGAGTGACAGAGTCAAACAGCACTTTTGCAGCTTCGAGGTCTTACGAGGTCGATGATTTTTCTCCACTACCTTCCCCATCTTCGACGAGGGAAGGTGTTTGTGACCAGGCAGTGTGTCTTGAGCCTTACCAGTATGAGCCACTGACTCAAGCTGCGACCGCGAGAGGCTTCTGAATGGCAGAACATTCCCTAAAACCGTGACAGCTAGCTTGTAATTATCTGTTCAGCAGGTCCATATTCAGTATAACCCTATGTTCTCCCTCACTCTAGGCTCGTATGGTTTCATATTTATGAGCACACCACAAGCAGAGCCATTTGGGCACAAGTAGGGCATCATCAGGGGGCGGAAACGTTGGTTGACTGATATGGATACTGTGACGTGTCATCGTACTTTGGTACAAAGACGTGCCTATAGCAGAGTTGAACCAGAGGGGTGCTGCTGAGGCGGAATTGACCACGATAAAAATGATATATTTACTACAAACAAGGCTGGTCTTGCTTGTATATGTGGTCTGTATATGCAAAAACTGCCCATTTTGAATACATTGTTCTTGTGATGTCACAAAAAGTAATACATTTACACATTCCTGCTTATTTAATTCTTGCTGCAAAATGGTCGTGTAAAAATGAATGATTACTTTTTTTGGTAGTAAACTCACTCAAACATCAAGTAGAATAAAACACAAGAAAAATGTAGGATATGGGCCCTTTAATGCTCAGAAATCAGACCAGGTCCAGGCACATCACTATGATATGGGGACCACATTTATCAAATCTCTTAATATGCACCTATAGTTACTTGATCTTGAATCATATTGTCATGAAATCATCGTATAGCAGCATCATGACCAAGCTTAAGTACTATTCTTTTCTGACCTGTAGCTCAGGTCTTAGTGAATCGGGTCCTAAAAGGCTGCATGAATGCACATACAGCTTTGCCCTCCAGGAGGGATTATCAGCTCTGCTCTATTCAGACTCTTCACTCAATCAGTCCACTAGAGTCTTACACAGTATGCTTTCGATTCTGCCCTCCTGGAGGTGTGCTTTTTTGGATTTTTGAACCTCCACTATCATACAGGGCCTACAAATCAGTAATGAAGGCAAGCAGATCCTTCCTTTGAAGCCGACCACTGCATCTTTTCAAACTTACTGCTCACGCAGCACCTGAGAGCAGCTAAACATGCTTTTAGGAGAGAACTAAATTCGTGTAAATGAGCTATTATATGGGTACGATTGGCCAGCATTGCTGTAAATGAACAAAAAGAGGACCTAAGCAGTCCCTCCCACCCAGAGCAGGACTAATTGTTTTGGACTCCTGGCCACGAGGCTGATGTAGCAGTTTTGCCATTGTCATCATTTGAACCTGGGACCTCATTTATCAAAGGATGTGTTCTACATCTACAAAAAAGCTAGTAGGCATTGGTATTTCTCAAACGTTTGTGCGCACAGTAGTATGCAAGGAATAATGGTAAATCCTACACTGCTCTGCTCATGCAAGGCCAGGCTAATTTAAAAATGACTGCCGAACAACTTCCCTTTAAAAGTCCCCGGTAGTCTATAAAACATCATTCATCATTGCTCATATCTCTGAAATGGTAACTTTACAGGGGAAGAAAAGGCCTTCTTAACTTTGAATGGGAGTTAAAGGAGCCACATTTTTCCAAGTAATTTTGGAGCATTTCTATTGGTCTGTTCATCATGAAATGTCAATACAAAGTGTTGAGCAGCTGGTATTCAAATTATGGTATTCAAAAAAATGAAAGAAATGGAGATATAAGGTTTTGTCCTAACAGCAACGGCATGAAAAGTTGAATTGAAATGGACCTTTCTATGTAAAATGCAGTTTTCCAGTCCAGCGTGAGAATTCACTCGGAACATTTAATACTTGAAATTATTTGATACGTTTTTGTTGCAAAAATGTTTTTACTCTTTTGAAATGTAAGTTTAATTACTGCAAGTTTAAGCTGCATTCATACTAGTAAAACATGTTGCTTCCATTGAAATGAACTGGAAAAAGACAAACTCTAGTGCTAACTGAACCTTCTAAAAGCAAAACATTAGAAGTTGAATTCAGATTTTTCAGATTTGGTTTTAACTTGCATTAATCAGTCATTAAACAGGCATATGCAAAGGTTTGAACACCCCTGGTCAAAGTACATGTTTTGCTGAATAATTAATAATAAGACATCCTCTATTGGGAACAAACTTAAAAATTGCAGAAAAATTACTGCACAGTTTCTATTTATTTTACAGTTTAACATGTAAACATACAATGCAAATTTTGCCATAACATATGCACAGACCACATTTTCTATTTTATTTATTATTTTTCCAATATGTTAAACTCAGCAAATAAACAGTAATTGTGCATTAACATGTGCAGAAGTGCGTCCTCTGTAGAGGATGTGTTACCTTATTTTCACTTAGAAAATCAAGAAAGGATGTCATATTACTGGTGCATACAACTGTAAATTACTCACAATGCATTTAAATCATAAATCGTTTCCATGCTCTTGTATGTCATTTGCACGTGTGTGCTACTTGCGTGACTCTGATTGTGAATATAAGCAGCGAAGTGCGAGCGCCGAACTCAGCAAACAATCTGTTGTAGCATCTAATTATGCTAATATGAAACTGATAGAAGGTAGAGCTGAAGAAGAGAGAAAATCGACCTCACCTAAAAAGACCAGACTAGGTTTTCACACAGTAACAGCTCTGTAAGCTATACGTTCGATTCATGAAGAGTTTATTTCAAAGGCAGCTGTTTTTGAGCTGTTTCTACTGCCTGGATTCTTGGTTTTCAGACAGCATCCGCTATTCATTATAAAGCATAACTGGCAGTGTCTTGTTAAAAGACAGGGATACTGAGAGGCCTTTTAAATGATGTTTTTCTGCTGTACAGTTGACACAAGAGGGTTTTACAGATTAACATAGAAGTAATGAGTACTTGTTCCAGGAAGTAGTTAATAATGTAATCCATTACATTTTGAGAGAAGTCGGTACACTCTCAGAAAAAAAGGTACAAAACTGTCACTGGGGCAGTGGCCCTCTTGTCACTGGGGTGGGACCCTCAAGGGTACATCTCAGTACCTTTAGTCAGGGAACATAATTTTACCATAATCCACTGAAATTATATTTTCTAAGTTGTATTGACTCCACAAACCCCGTCTCGTCTTCAGGCTTTTTATTTTACTGTTCTGTTTTAAAACATTAGGTTATGAAAAGGTACAAATATGTACTTTTTTACCTGGAGAAACTTATTTAAGGTACACAGTTGGACCTTAAAACCACTGTTTTTTGAGGGAACATTTACATTGTTTGTACCTTGATGATTGAAAAATATACCTGCACAGAATCTTTATTTCTAACAGTAGTAACTTGTAATGGATTACTTTTTTATTCACTACCCCAACACTGATTATCACACACAAGAAAAGATTGATCTGTCACATTCTCTGTCTAAAACGCTGTGTGAATAAATGAGACACCCTAGATTCCAGCGACAGGGTGCAGCGTTCTTAGCCAGTTGCACCATTCAGTAGCCCTCCTGAGCTGTTATTCATTAGGTATCACTTCATACAATGCCATCAGATTAAAACACTCACACAGACAACCTGAAGAAGCTGTGAAATTTGTCTTGACATGTGCTGTTATCTTAGTAGCCGGGCTCCCTGTTAGTTCTCAGGCACTGACTCACTTGTCAGCATGCAAGCTATCATTCTCACAATGGAGCTAAGGCCATCAACCCTGGCAAAGTGGTGACTGGAGCAGATGGTTGTATGTGCACAGTGTGTCATCAGCAAGTCAAGTGTGAATATATTTCAGATGTTGTTCACCATCAACATTTTTGTGCTTTGTTTCCCTCTTTTTATCCCTTATTACCTGTAGTTGGAGGCATTCTACTCAATCTTCACCACCGAGCAGCAGGACCATGTGAAGTCAGTGGAGTACCTCAGGAACAACCACCGGCCCACTCAAAATCTGGATAACCGGTTACTGTACAAATCAGCGGTGAAGGATGCCTGGTTTCCGGATTCCAGTGATGGGCAGGCCAGCCCTGCAGATACTGAGGCCTCTAAAGGTGAGGGGCTATGATACTTTGTTTGTCAAGGCAAAAATAGAATGTCATGTCTCAAAAGTCAGACTGATGTGCATGGCTATATTCAGTGGCACAGTGGCTGGAGTGTCACAAATCCATTTTTCTTTGCTATAGAGTGACCCAGATCTGATGTTTTCAGATCTGTGTGAATGCACAATTCTGATTTTTTTTTAATTCACTGTCTTTTTAAATCAGATCTGAGTCACTTGGACTGTCTTCACATTACTCTCATGGCTCAATTTGATTTTTTCTTAGATCATGTGATTGAACCTGTGCCCTGAAACAATCTGCATGTGCAGCACATCTAACTCTATATCAGCAACTAAGAGAACAAGCCATCATAGCAAAGATGGTTTGCTTCAAACTGCTCTCAGCAGCCAGGCAAAGGCAATAAAGGGTGAGATGTGTTGCTTTTGCAGTGTTTCAAGTTAGGTGCTGCTGCCACATTAATGCTGAATGATGGTGCATGTGCAGTGAAAAAAACATACAAATTGGTCTCATGGCCTCAAATCAGAAATGTATCCAATCTTGCACCGCATATGAAAGTGGCTCAGATATGATTTGAAAAGGTTCAATTTGGTGTTAACAGAACTCTGATAACATCAAATCTGTGTCATATTAAGGCTGAAAATCTGATTTGTGCCACTTCAGTCTGGTAATGTGAACACAGACTTTCATATGTGGCCCTGGATTGGATACATATCCAATTAGTGTCCATGCAACTGCTGTGAGAATGGTCAGTTTGGGCTCAAGATTTTTTCTGTATTTTATTGCAGCATAAAAAATTATGCAGCTTTTTAACTAAAAGAAGTAGGTAAACCTGGTTGACTTAAAACTTTGAGTTAATTTTACTCCAAATAATAAGTTAAATGTTTTGTTGACATTGGAATTTTAAGATTTCAACCAGGTTTCCTTACCTGCTTAGGTAAAAAGTTGCATCATCTTTTACAGTGATTTGCATGCGCATATTACCATAAACCAGTGTTGACAGAATGGCAGCAAAAGAGTACTTAAAATAGTTTTGCCGGTCGTAGCTGCAAAATTTATCTTTCTTCTCCCCTAACTTTAAACATCTAAGAGCTGGTGTTCTTTGTGATGAGGCCTGTGCTTCTAGTTTGTTGATTTGTTGTAGTTGTTCATGATGCATGTGGATCATTCACGCAGCATTATTGATTAGATGTGTGTATGCGGGTTGTTTCAGGCCAGAGATGCATTCACATTAATGACAGATATGGGTCACATACAAACATTAATAGGAACCACGAAGGCAGAAAGATCAGATCTGAGCGGTAAGGCTTGTAATGTGAATGTAGCCTGTAAAAATTTGAAGAATTCTGCAAAGACCGTTTAAAGCTTATTAGCTGAACAATTAATCCGTAGATTAATTGTTCAGCTGTAGGGAATCTGTAGATGTTAAGGGTGTAACAATTTCAATTCATATTGAAAATCATATTTGAAATAATGTGACAAATTGTGTCTTTCAAGGATCTTTCCACTGTCTGTTAACTTATTATTTGAAGTTCAATGAACTCAAAAATACAGTGTGTATTTAGTGGAAACTACACTCATTGATCAAAGCTAGGCATCTAGGTGCATTCTATTAAAGTAAAGTGGACTATTAAGATTGAAGACTATGCTATGGACACATCCACACTCAAATGACTAGGCTTTTTCTCTGAAGTCACTTAAAAGGCCCATATTCTACATTTTTTATTGTGGACCACTTATAAAGTTTGTGTGACTTTATGTCCCAAAAACAGTCATAATTCACTTTTACATTACCATTTTTCAACACCTTTGTACCTCTCAGAACTAAACAGGCTGTTTTTGTTATTGTACCTTTAGACTGATAATTGTAAATGAGCTATGTGCTGATTGGCTGCTCTGTGTTGTGCCTCATTCACAAACCAGTCCAGGCTGAAACAGTCCTTGTAAATTCAGCATGGATGGGTGTAGTTAAACTACTGTAGTCTGAATTAGAGTATATATTTAACTGTGTTGTTTTTTGTGACATCACACAACCAGTAAATTCAAAATGGGCTGTTTCTGCAGCTTATTTTCCACACGTGGACTGTATTGACTGAGGAGTGAAAGTTGAAACTTTAAGTGTGTTTAAGTACTACATCATATTCTTTTAATTCCTAAACTTCAGCTTCCCATGATATGGGCCCTTTAAATTGTAAGGGTTGTGATTTTTAGGTTTATATTTTTTGGAGGGCATTGAAAAAGTTCTATTTGTCAATTTTTACAGTTTTTTCTTGTGTAGTATTTGATTAGACCTCTATAGAATCACAGCATGTGTAACACGTAAAGGACTGAAATTCAAAATCAAACCTGAAAATATTGCATATTATTACACCCAAAGTAAACGCAGTATAGGGCACAGTCATGTTACCATCTATACTGCTTTCCACATTGAAGAGACCTTTTGTTTCCTGTTTGGGGTTGTACTCACTTGGCACATTAAGGGGATACTATTGGCGCATTTGGAATACCAAGTGCCCTTGGGAACAAGCTGTATAACAGTATATAGTACTACAGAGTACCACGAAGTGACTGCCTTTGCCAGAGTGACTTTCCAGACCAAACAGAGCGAATGGGCAGGAGTGCGTTTGCTCTCTCCATAAATGATGATTGTTGTTTCCATCCCTGGCAGAGGGAATTGATTGCTCTTGGCTGTGATGAAGTAGGGAGCAATGTAACACAGCCGAGAGGCAGAGTAATCATCATTAATATTCATTCTAAAAATAAACCTGCGCAAATGAATACTATGTGGCAAAAAAAAATTATTTAAATAATTAAAAAGCTTCAATTGTGGCTGGTTGAAAATAGGTTGTGAAAACCTTGTGTGGAGGACAGCATCTGTCCTGCCTGTCTCTTTGTCTTACTGTGGCTTACAGTTGTATGCAAAAGTTTAATCACCCCAGGTCAAATTATATGTTTTGTGGATTTTCTAAGCAACACATCCTCCACAGCAGGGGTCGTCAACCAGATGTGGACCTAACCATGTATTTCAATGAACCAAACTGAGCAAAAATCCAACAGAAGTAAACATGAACCAGCACACCTTCTGTAGCATTTCTGTGTCTCAGACGAAGGCAGCTCATCAGAACGGAGACTACAGAACAAGATATCAGGAAAGAGAATAATCACCCATATTTTGTAGATTTTTAATTTTATTAACAATTTCTGGTCTGAGTTGTGAAGCAACAACATATCTTAGTAAAAACAGAATGTTTAAAAGCAAGAATTGTGCATTTTTTTGCCCTTTCATGTTCAAGACCAGCATCCCATCTGTTCAGAGTCCATTAGTCGTTAAGCGTCACTGCAAAACAAATCACTTTAAATGAACAAATGAACAAAATTCAGTTCTGAGAATAAATACAATAAACTGAAAGCTGAACATAAAATCCCCACCAGAGTCCCTTCCCTTAACAGCACAAGAGCATGAAGTACTCATTAAGAATAGCCTTTATAATTGTTTATTGCATTCTAACTTATTATTTTTAAAGATATTTTAAAGTTTTAAACAGTTCTTCCTTTCAAAAAAATTGTCTATTTTTTTAACCAATGATAATATATATTAAAACCAGTATATATTAAAATAAAACACTTTGTAAAAATTATTATTATTATTTTATTTTATTAGTTGCTTGGTTGCCTGGTTAAGCATTTAAAGGTAACCATAGTCACCATTTACTTATAATAGTTTGTTTATCTGGAACTTTGTAGGCAAGAAATTTAATTTAACTGGACCATTTAAAGTTTCAGCTGAATAGCCCTGCTCTAGAGGGAACAAACCTTTACTTTATTTTGCTTTATATTTTAGTGCACAGTTTCTATTTATTTGGTGGGTTCAACATATAGGAATAAATGTTTTTTTATTTTTTTCTCACCCAACATGTTCAGTTGAGCAAATAAATTGCATTCTCTGGAGTGTTCTCTGGAGGAATGTGTTAACTTACTTTCACCCCTGCCTGGTCAAAACATGTAATTTGACCAAGGGTGCCCAAACCTTTTCACACAACTGTACTTGCCTGTATCAGAGCATTGTTGCTTTGTATTACTGTCCTGGCATCTTATCTTGTTTACTCCAAAAGGTATGCTTTGTCATGGGTGTAGATATGCAGAGAGCGTGTTCAGACCAGCAGTGCCTGGCTTATTACTGTGGGACAGTGATGGCGGCAATGATTAGCATGCTGATGATTGAACTGATGAAGATAATGGCCTCTTGCTGAGTCACTCAGGCTGATGGAGCTATTGAGGCCGACTTCCACAGTTGATGCCCTTTCCTTAATCACCCCCTGTCCTCCATTCACTCTTTCTTCTCTTCTCTCTGTCTGCTTTCCCCCCTTCATCCACCCGCAGACTTGTTTATCATCGGCTTGAAAGGTTGCTGGTCCTGATACACCCATCGTGGGGCTCTTACCATAATGACCTTATCAAGCATCACGTATGTGGTCCACCCTGCCTAATGAAAGCACAATGTGGATAAAACATCTTGAGGAATAGATTGCGTGAGAGTGACATCAATAGCAAAATTACTTTCCACCACCATTAATGGTACTGCAGGCATTATCATACCTAATGCTTTTACCATTGCTCTTGTGTTGCCTGTAATCTTTGTGAAAAACTGACTGTTGCCCTCAGAATAAATTATAGAATTCCATTAATCTTACAATCATTTGCTGTGTTGTTGATGTTTATAATGATTGAACGGCAAAAAATAACCACAACTGTAGCGCAAATTGCCGTTTTCGAAATAAAAAGCATTATTTTCCTTCAAAATTATCTGACTATGCGCAGTTGTGCTGGGTGACTGTATCCCTCTTGGCAGTGTCCACATATCATATTATCATGTTAGCTCTGTTAACAACGCTGCAGGGCTCAAATAGGCACTGCAGTTAAGTCTGTACCACCATCTAGAGGCCAGGGGCCACAACACTCTCCACCCCATCCATATATATATATACATTAACAGA